TTTTTTTTTTTTTTACAAAGCAAAATTTGGAATGGTTTAATGATAGAACTTTATTATCAGTAGACACAAAAAATGCAAAAGCTAATTGAGAAATAAGGAATACAGAAGGAACTTGATAAGTGTGTTTAATTCATTTATATGTATAAACCTATTTTTGAGTGAATTTTGTGCTTCTAATTTTAAAGAAAAACAACTATGAGGAAAAATGGGGGCAAGTGGCTCGTCCTTATATAAATCTGTGGTTGCATTTTTACATTTATGGGTAATTAATTAAAGTAATAGTTAAAGAAATGAGTTGAATCTACTACGGTTCTACTGAGCCCTCGGGTACTTTTTCCTTTGCTTTCCTAAAGCCCAAAACAAATCAGATAATAACTTTGCTAAAGGTGTTTCTGGCACTACTTTGTTTATAGTTGATTATAAAATTATTATTTTTTTAAAGACTTGTTCTATGGAATGTAATGAATAGATATCAGTCTAGTGCAAAATTGCCCATCACCCGCTCCATTATTAGTTATTCTATGTAGATAACAGATAAGCAATAATTAAGTTATTTTTAATGTTAAAAAGACTTCTTATTTTTGTTCTGTCTTTTTAGGGAAAAAAATACAACATGGGGCAATCTAGCTGAAATTAAACAATTAGTGTACTTAGAGTCAAAGATTTCCTTAATACCTATGCATTAATTCTCATTCCTGACTATATGTTGGTGTGCTCTGGGCATCGCCATATATATATATATATATATATATATATATATATATTTAAGGCTTCCCAGGCAATTCTAATGTGCAGCCAGAGGTTAAGAATCACTGGTCACAAAGTGTGGTCTATGGAGCCGTAGCAGCAGCATCCTTTGGGAGCTTGTTAGAAATGCAGATTATTGTCCCCATCCCAGACTCAGTGAATCAGAAACTCTGGGAGTGGAACCCAGCAATCTTTGTTTTTAAAAGTCATCAAGTGATTCTCATCCGTCCTCGAGTTTGAGAATTACTGATCTAGAGCTTTGGAGGACAGCCCAGGAGCACATCTCTGCAAGATGGCTACAGATTGGCACCTGTACCAAAGAACTGTTTCATCCTCAGAAATTTTGTAGAGCCCATAATTGACTTCATATTTACAAAGAAATGAGCCGGTAGAAATCCTACCACCCTTATAATACCCACTGATATCAACTGTTCGATTGTGCAATTGTAGCTGTGAGTCACTGGGCATTGACACAAGCACTGTATGGAGAATTTAAGGTATAATAAACCTTGGGGTTATCTATATCAATTTTGCCCAATAAAAATGTAATGCACGCCACAAGTTAGAAATGTAATACACGCCACATGTGTAATTTAAAATTTTCACTTAAAAGGTGAAAAGGAACATTTAGAAGTGGTTTTAATAATACATGTATTTTAGTTAACCCAGCAGGCCCAAATAATATCATTTAAACATGTAATTAGTATAAAAATATTAATGAGGTGTTTATTTATTTACATACTGAATCATAGAAATCTGGTGAGTATTTTACACTTAACAGCACATCACAATTCAAACTAGCCACATTTCAAGTGCTCAATAGCTACATGTGGTTAGTGGCTACCATATTAGGCACTAAGTTCTAATTAGATACTGCCAGAATTTTGTTGTAAATACTATTACTGCATATAAATGAACAACTTCTGTAAAAAAAGTTTATAGTAGAATCTAACCTATACTTCTATATAGTTCAACTACATAATATGTTTTTCTCTAATTAGGCTTAAGTTGCACATCCTCTGAGGATAGAAATGTGATTTCCTGTTGTTTACTATGTTCTTAGAAGGTTACAACAACCAAAAAATTTTTCTAAGAAATATTTTCCATTATAAAAGGCATGATATTATAACTTGAACATCAGCATTCGACTGGTTGCAGGATGGAGTAATTCTTAATAGTGTTCCAAACATTTTTAATGTCTGGAGAAGAAATAACAGTATACAAACTGAGAAGACCAATTAGAAAATGATCACGTTTATTGGAGGAGAAAAGTGTGTAGCCAAGCATGTAGTGGGTTGTCGGAAAAGTCATGATGCATTTTTGCAATGAAAAACATAGAAAAAAGACGTCATGACTTTTCCGACATCCCAATACCTTGACAAAACAGCTTGTCTAAATGTGTCAGTCTTCTTTAAATCTGTTTGTTTTTTTTTTAAGCTGAACCATCCTGCCACCTATTGGCAGCTCAGCGGCAGCTCAGCTCGGGCCCGAGAATCAAACCAGCAACCCTGTTGCTCAGAGCTCACACTCTTGAGCGAGCTCTTAACCAACTGAGCCCCTCAGCCAGCCCTTAAATCTGTTTTTATATCAGTATTTTAAAAAATTAACATGTAATCACTGGCCACAGAAGCTTACCAAAACTTTGAAGAATTTGATCCCTTGACTCATACTATATTCAAAACTCTGGGAGCAGCCAGTTAGCTCAGTTGGTTAGAGTTCAGTGTGCATAACACCAAGGTTGCTGGTTCAATTCCCACCACATGGGTCACTGAGATGCGCCCTCCACAACTAGATTGAAACAACTACTTGACTTGGAGCTGATGGGTCATGGAAAAACACACTGTTTCCCAATAAGGATTAACTATATAAAATGAAAAATTAAAAAAATAAACTCTGACCTTGGATAGGCTACCAAGGGTCCTTAACCTCAGGCTCCTAATCCAGATAACTTTTTCTCTTGGGAAGGCTTAAGGAAGTTAGTACAGGTGAAATGCTCACTAAAGGGCCTGTCACATAATGCATGCTCAGGTACTGTTATCAATCATTATTTTATATCATTTCAATTAAAACATAAAATAACATGGGGAATGGTAAGAATTTGAATTTTTGTCAACTGTCTCTACAATGAAGATTTAAAATTTTGATATAGGAAATATTGCTTCAGCATGTCCTTAAGAACTTTCTTCTTTAAATTCTTACATTTTTCATATTTTTAAATAATTTCTTTTTCGTAAATAGCAATTTTCTAAATAAAATGCCAAATTATAACAGAAAACTATAATGAATTTCACTCTTTGTGTGAGATAATATTCATAATTTATTCTCAATATTTTCATAGCTTTTTAAATGAAATAATTCATTTTAAATAGTCAGGAGATATGACTTCAGGTTTTGGAAGCTTTTAATTTAGACATAATTATTGTTACATAATTAATGTTATTTTTTAACCCATCTTTTTCTTATATAGTTATGGTATTATTTTGTTGCAGTTAAAATACCAGAGAATCTTGGAGCGGTTAGAAAAGGAGAACAAAGAATTGAGAAAATTAGTGTTGCAGAGAGATGACAAAGGCATCCATCATAGAAAGCTTAAGGTATTTTAAGTTTATCTTAATGTGTTAGTTCTCAGAACTTTGCCACTTCACATTGTGCGTTCATCAATACTAGTGTTTAAGGAACCATGAAGTGTGCTGTCATCCTTTTCTTTCTCACCTGATATCCTTCACGGGTAGGAATTATTTCATTTAATATTCTTAGTGATTCTTTCTCTGCTTTAATCCTTTCTTCAGTCTCTCTCTCTCTCTGTCTATCTCTGTTTCTGACACACACACCAAACTTGGTAGAGGATGATTTCATCTGACCCCTTATTTGGCCTTTAGGTGTTATAGTGTTCCTTTGTTGGGCATTTAATATTAACTGTTCAATATTAAATAATAACATCCCTCTTTTACTATTTAATTAAGAGGTTAGGAAATCCTGAATTAATATACCGTATTCCCCCATGTATAAGACTCACCCTTTTTCGAAAAAATTTGGGGTCTAAAAACTGGGTGTGTCTTATGCAGCGGTTGTAGGTTTTTTTACTTGCATTTCCTGATTTTTCGCGCTTGTCTTTGCGCTCATTGTTTGGCACTTGTTACCGGTACATTACGGTAGGTTACATTTTGCCACGTTCTGCCCAGAAATGGCTCAGAAAAGATTTTCGTACAGTGCTGAATTCAAGTTAAAAGTGATACAGTTTGCAAAAGTGAGTGGAAATCATGCTGCTGAACGTAAGTTTGGTCCTCCTCCAACTGAGAAAACAATCCGAGACTGGCTACGGGAAGAAGAAACCCTACTGAAAACTCCACAGTAGAAGAAAGCCATGAGAGGCAATATATGAAGTCAGTGATCAGACACAGATGAGGACAAGCTAATGGTTGGGAGTTTTGACAGTGATGAGGAGTTGTATGAATTTTATGATGAATAAAGCCTGAGTTCAATAACTTTATGCAATACATTTTTTTTCAAATTTCAGGCCCCAAAATTAAGGTGCACCTTATACATGGGAGTGTCTTATACATGGAGAAATACGGTACTTTAATAATTAGTATGTCTCTAAATAAAATAAATTGGATGAGAAAAATAGAATTTTATTCTATACTGTTTTACTATCAATATGTATTTACATAATTAGAAAAACAATACATTGATTATGGGAAAACATTTTGGATTTATTAACTTTTTTTCTCTTGAAATCTGTTTTTTTTAATATTTTCACTGTCTAATATTTTCTTTAATTTTATAGAAATCTTTGATTGACATGTATTCTGAAGTTCTTGATGTTCTATCTGATTATGATGCCAGTTATAATACACAAGATCATCTGCCTAGGGTAAGTGAAAAATTAATATAGAATGAACTTGCACATTAGCAAAAAAACACTAAGTTTTAAAATTGTGTGTATGTGTATGTATACGTACACACATACACAATGCATACACTTGCATATATACACACATAGACATAACCAGAGACATATTTTTTTACCTATATAAAATTATTTATGTGTTCTCAATGATGCCTTAATCATTGAATGTTGTTTGACCACTTCGATCCATTGGTATACTTATATTTATGTGTAATAAAGGAAGGCTGTCAGATATTTGGCAGTATATATTCATATCATCCATGATATTAAAGTACCTGAACAATGGATTAAATTTGGCACATGAGTGAAATTTAACCTCATAGAACTGAAAACATCTTTGTAAAGAGTAAACTACAATAGCTCTGGGAAAGATTTGTGTAACATGAATGATCTGGTTTTAAAAATAGTTTTAAGTTAGCACAATTTTTTAGTAAAAATTTGGCTATGAATAATGGATCCAACTCATGTTTTGCTGTTTATATTTTCAGTGTGCATGCATGTATCAACTATCACTTTTTTCATGGATAATATTTTTAAATCGTTTAACTAGATATTTTGAGACTAAAAAAAATCTCAGCAGCATTCTAAACATACTTAAGCTTAAGTTGGTAAAGAATAATATGAATAAATGTTATTTGTTTTGTGTTAAGGTTGTTGTGGTTGGAGATCAGAGTGCTGGGAAAACTAGTGTGTTGGAAATGATTGCTCAAGCACGAATATTCCCACGAGGATCTGGGGAGATGATGACACGTTCTCCAGTGAAGGTAGGAAAATAGGCCATCGGTATGAAGTTCCTTAGGAAATAACCGCTTCAGTGAACTTTGTTTATTGTGTTGAAATGAAGAATTTTAACTAAAGAAAGAACTGACACATAGCATTTTGAATTGCTCCTATTACAGAAATCAGTAGGAGGCAGTCAGTCAGGAGGCCAGTGTGAGAGGAGCTGGGTGTGAGGGGAGAGTCTTGGGAAGGGAGAGCAGAGGTGCAGTGGGAGGCCAGGCTCTGCTGAGCTGTTTTTAGGCCTTCGAAGTTTATTCTGAATAAGATAAGTGAAAGACTGAGTAAGAGAATGCGAGTCTTGGAAGTGGAGTCAGTAAATAGAAATAATTTTCTGGGTGTACAATAAAAAAGAGTAGAGAAATGGCACAGTAGCCATTGAAATATGTTGGGTCAAGGGAATGTTTTTAAAGATATTTATATGCTGTATGTAGCGATTTAGTTGAGAAGAAAAATTATGCAAGAGAGAGGGAACAAAGAGGGAGCAAAGTCATTGAGATGAAAAAGGCTGGGACCATGTGTCCAAGCTGTCCACGTATAGAAGCACTAACAGTTCATCCATGGGCACAAGAAGAAAGTCTGTGGCTACAGCCTTTCATTCAACAACGGCTCATGGGGTGCTTAAGATGTGCCAGCACTGTTCTAGGCAGTGTGTTGGTGAACAAAATGAAGATCTTGGCCATAATGGAGGATACACTGTAGTAGAGGGAGACAGATATAAGTAATAGACATAATAAAAGACTAAATTACATTGTATGATACAAGATGGTACATGTTGTGCAAAAAAGAAAAAGGTGGAGCCTGGCAAGGGGAATGGGGGTGCCAGGGTGTTGGTAGACTGCATCAAGAAGGTGATATTTGAGCCAAACATTTCCATGAAGAGAGTGAGTGCAAAGCCCCTGAGGTAGGTAGGTAGGTGACTGTCGTGTTCAAGGTCAGTGTGGCTACAGCGAAGAGTCCTAGGTGATGGGGAGAAAGGGATAATGGAGGCCAGGGGGAAGCAGGCCATTAAGCCTCGTAGGTCATTGTGCAAACTTTGGTTTCTATTTTGAATAAAATGAGGAGCCGGTGCAGGGTTTTGAGCAGAGTAACAACATTACTTTAAGGGCTCTCTCTGACTGGTGTGCTGAAAATAGACAGAGGCAAGGGCAGCCTGAGTAGAACCAGGGAGACCGAGTGGGAAGCTGTTGGAGCATCCAGGTGATACTTGGATCAGGGAAGTAGCAGTGAAGGTGATAAGAAGTGGTTGGATCTATTATGAAAGAATCAACAGAATTTCTTGACATTTTTGATATGGAGAGAGAGAGAGAAAGCCAGTTGTCAGGATGACCGTGAGGGTTTTGGCATAAATAAAGCTTTTAATTGGCATGGTGAAGTCTGGATTAGAATGCATTCACTCTGGGGAAGAAAATCAGGAGTTTTGGGCTTTCCAAGGGGTGTTAACACATTAGCAGTTGAATATCAAGTTTGGAGAGAGGGCTGAGCTAGAGACTTAAATTTAGGAGTCATACCCAGCTATCTAAAGGTGGTACTTAAAGCCATGAAATTACTGAATAAGATCACTAAGGGAGTAGAGATAGAGAAGACAGAATGGAGGATTGTATCCTGGGCACTCCCAACATAAAGAGATTGAGGGAGGAGGAAACAAGGAAGTAGACTGTGAAGAAGCAGCCAGTGTGATGGGAAACCGGAACAGTGCATCAATTTGCTGGAAGTCAGGGTTAGAAAATATACCGGAGAAGGGAGTTCTCGGTGAGGTCCATGTGCTGATAGATGAGGAAGATGAAGACTAAGAATTGATCATTGAATTTACAGAGGAGGCAAGTGAATAGGGTATGTGGACGTTTCATTCTGATGCTTCCACTGCCTTGGTGACATAAGAAGCTAGACAATCAGCTGTTGATTAAAGAGAGGGGAAAAGGTATCGAAGATGGAGGTAAGAGGGAAGTGTGAAGTCCTTTCTAGGTGAGTGTTGACTGCAGGAGTGAGTTGATAAGGGAAGTCGAGAAACATTAGGATTGATGAGTTGTACTGAAGTCCCCATTAAGGCCTGTGGGCACGTATTTAAGGGGAAAATGTATGGTTGTCTTTTTTTTTTTTTCCTTTCAGTTCAACTGGTGGGTATAGGTATAGAGTAATTGGAAAATTGGAAAATTAAAATCAAGAATGAAGGCCAGAATAGTGGTAGAAAATGAGACAATGAGGCTAATGATAAACTCTTCCAGGAATGAAGTCTGTTTATTACTGCAAACAAGCAATCTGGTGTGATTCATACAGAGTGCACTGCTTGGGGTCTGGCTGTGAATTCAACCGTACTGTGTCAAGCTAGTTAATTTTTGATCGCTCTGGGGTATTGTTTGAATGAACCACACTTTATAGATCCATTTTACTATTGATGGGTATTTGGCATACTTCCAATTTAGGAAGAAAAATAATGAACTGACCACACCTCTTATGCTCTATAATCAACTCTAATAGCACTGTAAACCTACCTTTTACCTTGTTACCAGCACTGCAAATTGTAGTGGCTGTGGATGGTGGTATGTTTTAGGAAGGAGTTCGCTTTCTTCTGGCAGGCTGATTTCCTTGAAACGGACAGGGCTGCTTGCTTTCTGGTTTGCCATCACTCTGCTACCGTTTACCAGGACTTCTCTCGGTGGTGGACTCTGAACTCCAAGATTTTTGTTTCCCCTGAAGAGAGATTGCCAAAATCTTGACTTAGCATGGTAGCCTCTTCAGCAGCTTCTTCCTGCTTTGTTTCTTATGTGCAAATGCCTTACAGGTAAATTGAGTGCAGAATAGAGGGCTCAGAATTTGGAGATTTGTTTCTGCTGTGTATTTTTTCTCTGAGACCATGGTACCTTAAATCGTGGCTGTTTGATAACCCTGAATTCCGATTTTGTCTCCTCAACCCAGTGAAACTGATGCAGGTTTCAAGCTGTTCTCTTAGGCCACCTTCTGTCACAAATCAGCTAATGCCCTGAGGGAAAATAGCTGCTGGAATATCCCCTTGACATCTTTTGGGGTCTTGGACTCTGTCCTGGTCGCTCCCTAATGCCTTCAAATAGCTGGCTTCTGTATGTTATCCAGCCTGTTTAGCTAATCTCAGCAGAAGGAATTGTATTTTGAAAGGGAATCGGATCATTATAGAGAAGCCTGAAGAGTTACAATTGACAAGTTAAGGAATGTGACGTTTAGAAGTTCTCGTGAAACCACAGACTGTTAATATTTATATAAGTTGTTAGAGAATTTCTTGCTCAAATGTCACTCCATGAGGAAGGCTGCCTTAGCTCCCATGTAGTTAGTGTCGCTCTCTGTGCCACACTGTGCTGGCACCTCTGTGTGTATTCCTCCTAGTATATAGTGAGGTCTATACCAGGGACTGCCAATTCTTCATGTTTCCCCACCTGCTACACTTGACATAGTTAGCTCTTCATAGATAGATGTTGAATAAATGAATTGTCCTTTTCTTAAATTTACCTTTGAAGTCAAAAGGCAAGATTTTCTTTTAGTTTTGCAGGTTTCAGATGGATGGTTTTGTTTGTGCTCAGCACTCTCTATGACATTAACTGCGAAACGAGGGGCAGCAGCATTTTAGGTCATGAAAGTTGTAAAGGAGCCAGCAGTCTTGCTGGGCAATCACAATACCTGTGACAGATACATGCACAATACAAATGCAGAATTTTGTGGTCTCAGCATGGGTGTGTTGACAGCCTCTGGGGATACTCCTGACGTGTAGCATGAAGGAAGGGACACCTAGATTTGTGCAATGCAGTGGCCCTGACTAGACCATGTCAGTGCTGTGGGGATGAATATGAATTGTAAATTCATTATTACATTCAATTTTCTATTACTTCCAGGTGACTCTGAGTGAAGGTCCTCACCATGTGGCCTTATTTAAAGACAGTTCTCGGGAGTTTGATCTTACCAAAGAGGAAGACGTAAGTAGAATTCATACGACGTTCATTTGTGTAACTTCATAACCTGTGTAAGCTTGTAAAAGACAACTGAAGGGAATATTGGTTAACTGAAGATTTCCTTAGGATTTTGTTGTTTTCCATTCATAGCTTGCAGCATTAAGACATGAAATAGAACTCCGAATGAGGAAAAATGTGAAAGAAGGCTGTACTGTTAGCCCTGAGGTAAGTGTTGCAATTCATTTCAACAATGTTTTATGGGAATCCAATGTTTATGATTTAAAATAAACCATAATATTGGTGTTGATGTTTATGCAGCTAATCTAAGATAACATAGTTTTGTTTTTAACATTTCAAATAATGTAACATTTTGTGGGTAGTTTTGTAGAATATTACTTTTAGGATCGGAATGAAAGAATAACTTTTTTTCTGAGCACCATATCTGAGTGAATGAGATACAGAATTTTCAGAATATGTATCACCAAAGAATTCCTAACAAACTTCCCCCAAAATTAGTTTGTTTTGCTTTTCCTCTAAACAGACCATATCCTTAAACGTGAAAGGCCCTGGGCTACAGAGGATGGTGCTTGTTGACTTACCAGGTGTGATTAATGTAAGTATGTACAAAATGTGTATTTATCTTATGCCCACTGTGGAAAACATTTATAATGACATTTAAAACCTTTTTTCTTTAAGACTGTGACATCAGGCATGGCTCCTGACACAAAGGAAACTATTTTCAGTATCAGCAAAGCTTATATGCAGAATCCTAATGCCATCATACTATGTATTCAAGGTAAATCTTATCAAAAGATTTTAATTGCACTAATATGCTTCTTTTTTTAGCAATCCAAGCTTTGCTCAAATATGCACGTTACATAAATATACAAGATAAATATGTTTTGCCCTGTCTTATTCATTTTATTACCAAATAAAATTGAAGTTGGGAATATTTTGATAAATTTCACTGTAGGCATCATAGAAATTTTTATTGGCTAGAATTTCTTTTTGTAACTAAGATATATGCATATTAAAGTTTTCCTTACTGTAGGATAGACACAAGGATGTAGCTTGTAGAAGTTTTTAAAATCCACTTGGCAATTATTACAGTGTCATTTTTCAACTCTTTTCAGATGGATCGGTAGATGCTGAACGCAGCATTGTTACAGACTTGGTCAGTCAAATGGATCCTCATGGAAGAAGGACAATATTTGTTTTGACCAAAGTAGACCTGGCAGAGAAAAATGTGGCTAGTCCAAGCAGGGTGAGGGCAACTTCTTTATTGTGAGAGAACAAATTCTTTATACAAGCTCCAGCTATGACAGGGACTGGTTGTAAAAAAAAAAAAGAAAAAAAATCCTGTGGAATACATTATCAGAGAGTAATGGTAGGATTTTTTTTCTTGGTTCTCACTGGAAACAAAGGAAACATAGTATTGGAAAGTTATAGTAAATTAAGTGCAATTTTAAGGCATTGTAAAATGCCATAATTCGAGTTACTGTGCTTTAGAAATACTTAAACTGCTAATGTTGCATATTCTAATTTAATTTAAATAATTTTGTACACTGACAATCTTTAACCTCATTTGTGGTGTTTCTTTTTTTATTTTATTTTATTTTTTTAGTTGATGTTCGTAAGTTAGTGTAAAACTAGTGACACTATAGATTCCTTTTGGACCTTAATGTGTGCCAAGTTTTTTTTTTGCAGGTAAACATTACTGTTCCTAAATGAGCAAAAACTATAGCAGATTTTTATAATAGAGAAGGGTGCCCGGCCTTAGCATTCTTACCTGTGCTCCACCACCAGCTGGGTGTGTCCTTGGGCAAATCTTGTTACTTTTCTGCATCCAGTCAGTGCACAATCCAGCCTACTACCTAATTGATCTCTAGGGTCATTTTCATTTTTGAATTCTATGACTTTGACTTCTGTACATGTGTTTGTTCATTGTTCCTTCTCTGTCCCTCTTGTAATAGGGAAACAGGTTTATTTCAAGGTAACATTGTGTATCGTATTAGGGTTCAAGTCTTGACTTAGGACATGCTCTCTACTTAATTGTAAAGGCATAAGAGTGCAGAATCTGTAGCCAGATTGCTTGGTTTCAAATCCTGGCTCTACTGTATGCTAGCTGTGTAACTTTGGGTAAGTTATTTAACTTTCATAGTGAGTTAGGCTTCCTCATCTATTGGAAATAAAGATATTAATGGTACTGTCTCATGAGTTGTGAAGGTTTAATGAGTTAAATATTTGTTTGAAAGTGGTTGAAATAGTACTCGGCATTATGTTATATACATGGTGGCTGTCATCTGTTCTTGTTACTATTATTATTATTATTATTATTATTATTATTATTATTATATCTTTATTTCCCATGGGAAAAATAAGTACCCATCCCTCGTGCTACTGCTTAGAATTTCTCTACTTACCACCTGAAACTTCTGGGACTGCGCCTCTGTCAGGGGTTTCCGAGACAGACTCCTCCTAGGTTTACTAATTGTCTACAAGGACTCAAGCACACAGGCATACTTACACCTAAGATTTATTACAGTTATGGAATACAAAACAAAATCACAAAGGGAAAAGGCGCAAGAGATGACATCTGGAGGAAAAAACCAGGCTCAGGTTTCTAAGACCCAGTAGAGTCACAACAGACACACTTTATCCCTCCAGCAATAAGTTGCTCATTAGAGACTTAGCACCTAAGATTTTTATTGGGGGCTGGTCATGTAGGCACCCTCAAGTACCCGAACTCCAGACGCCCAAACAAAAGCAGATGTTCAGTATAAACCGTGTTGCTTGTACAATAAGCTACTGTTATTCAGGGAAAGTTTTATATCAGTGTAGGGAATTGTTTACCAGTTAAGTTCCCAGATTCCAGCAGAGGACAAGCAGGCCTTTCTAAGGACAGCAGTCTTAGGCCTACTGTGTTAACTGTTTTAACTCCGTAACCTGTGCTGTGCCTTATTTTATGGATAATGCCCTCTTCACCCATAAGGCAGTTTTTGTCCTGATATCGAGAAGGGGAAAAGTGAGGTAGAAGCCGATTTCTGTGCTTCCTTCCATCTCTCTTCATTCCTTTCATTTCTTTTTCTTCTTCCTTAGGATAGTAAGTTGGTATTTCTTTTGAAATCCAATTGAAGCTTACATCAGTCCATTTTTATACCAGAGCTTCCACATTAGCTTAAGGATGTACCTTGTCTTAGAGGAGGGGTTCTTACATCACTAAGTATTCATCTGAATGGGCTTCTGGGAGCAGGAACTCTTTTACATTATGTGTGAGTGATAGATCTCTGTGCAAAAGTGCATTTTTCTGGGGACAAAGTCTATAGTTTTTATTACATTTAGAAAACAATTTTTGACCCTAAAAGAGTTGAGAACCAGTGGATCCAAATATTTTAAAAAAAAAAAAGTAAAAATGACAGTCCAACTTGGTTAGAATTTAAATATTTGAAGAAGAGTATGGGGAAATAATTATAGCAGCTACCATTTATTAGTCTTCTGCATGCCTGGTACTGTGTTAAGTATCATATCATCTCCTATAATCTTCTCAACCATTTTGAAAAAGTTAGGTAGCGTACTTAGGGCCACATAGGTAGTAAGTGGCAGAGTAGAAATTCAAATTAAAGCTTGATTCTAAAATCGTACGCATCATTCCAAGTTTAATTTTGGTACTGATGTTTTAATAATACATTTTTTAATATACTAAAATAAATGTATTTATTTTTTCCTCAAGTAGTAGTTGAAATACATTTTTGTACTTTTGTACAGATTTATATATTTAGATGAACATATACTACATTATTAAATTTACTCTCTAAATAATATATTATGCTTTTAAAAATTATGTAAACCTACATCTCACATTTGTTTTTCTCACTTTTAAAAATAGATTCAGCAGATAATTGAAGGAAAACTCTTCCCAATGAAAGCTCTAGGTTATTTTGCTGTTGTAACAGGAAAAGGTATGCAAAGATAGATTATTATAATTGAAGGTTTTCTTGTTTTCAAATAATAAATATTAATTTTCTTAGTGAGAACTTCACCATCATCTTTTTCCTAGGAAACAGCTCTGAAAGCATTGAAGCAATAAGAGACTATGAAGAAGAATTTTTTCAGAATTCAAAACTTCTGAAGTAGGTACCTTGTTTAAGTATTTAAAGATTTTGTACTGAGGGAGTAGCTTAAACTGTTTTCACCTGAAAGTTTGTTTATAGCTATCAGTTTAACATTGAATTTCCAGAATTTTTTCCAAATGGTGATCTTTATCTAATAAGGAAGTCCTCCAACATCTGACAGAATTGTGAGCAATTTGTCACATGGTACAATACGTGCTGCTGGTATAGTAAACTATCCCTTGGGGCATGGGCGATGAAAGACAACATGGACACCCCTGAAGTTGTTTTACTTGTAAAGCAATTTTTAAAAATCAGCACTGACATTTTCAAATACATGTACACACTTCTCTTATAGTATTGGGGAAAGTTGGAGTGGGGCTGGGATGTCAGAGAGGTATCTCTGTATAGATATTGACA